TACCCACAGGGGTCATAATTTGAACAATTTAGAATCTACATTACCCCAGGATGCTTCCAAGTAAGCTTCAGCTTTTCTGGCCCAGTGGTTCTTGAGAAGAAGATTTTTAGATATTTTCTACATATTTCAATGTAAAACATGGATTCCCTATTGTGGCCCCGCCCCACCCCGGGGATCATGATTTTAACAATTTAGAATCTTCATTTCCCCAGGATACTTAAACATATGGGAAGTTTCAACTTTTCTGGCCCAGTGGTTCTTGAGAAGAAGATTTTTTAATGACCTCACCTTATTTTTGTCTTTTCTTGATTATCTCCCCTTGGAAAGGGGCTTGGCCTTTTATTTTAGCAATTTAAACTCCCCTCCACCCAAGGATGCTTTGTAGCAATTTTGGTTAAAATTGGCCTAATGGTTCTTCAAAAGAAGTTGAAAATATGAAAATTTTCAGATGGATGGACAGACAGATGGATGGACAGCTAGAGGGACAGACAACGGATGATCAGAAAAGCTCACTTGAGCTTTCAGCTCAGGTGAGCTAAAAACAAATGAGACATGATGTTATATGGTGGATCCCTGATGATTGCAAAGATGGGTTATATGCACTTAAACCATTAAGATGTGTGCTTTAAAACCACCAAAATTCTCTCAATTACTTGCAATATACCAACAATTATCCAAATGATTCAGTAACAGTTTGCAATTAGTTTAAGAAATCTGGATGATAGGATGCTGGTGTTCAAATTACACCACCTATAGTTAAACCATTCTCTGCAACCTTCTGCATGTGAACATGTATATCAATCAATGGGCTACATTTGGCAATCAAAAAAAGATCTTTATTTGTGATGATTGTTCCAAAAAATAATTGACAAATGCTTTCGACAAATAAAATCAAATTGAGTGGCAAATCAAATATTTACATATTTTATTTACTCATAAATGATAAATACAAAAATTTTGTTTACAACTTTAACCATGTAATATTCCTGACGTGAAAGTAAACAAGAAAAAAAACCTGATAGACATAAATGATACATTTAGTTGAGTTACTAATATCCAATATCCTTGAAAACAAAGCATAATATCTAGAGAATATTCTAGAGAATTTACCTATTTTTATATACTTACATAGGGGAAGTAACATTCATTACTATAGAATTTTTCTTGTCAACACTTTTGATGCAAATTAAGACAGAGGTGTCTCCTGTGTGTAAGATAAGGGGAGACTACTATTGTATCATTCATACTAGGTATCCCCCTAAAAGGACTTGTAAATGAAACAAAGATATCATCATCCAGAGAAAATAAAACTCATTATAATGTTGTTATTAGGATGACATGATGTTCTTTGTGAAATATTTTAAAACTAACAATAGATATTACTTTAAACAGTTTTTATGATTTTAATATTAATACACTTACACTTACTAAGCATTTGTTCAGTAGGGGGTGAAACTGATTAAATTCATCATTACTGAAAATGATGACAACTAGTCACTGAATTTATTTTTTTGCTTTGACTAAAATCATCATTTTTTAAGAAAATGATGAAAAACAAGTCTAAAAATAAGGAGTTTTTCTTTTTTTTTTAAATATAGATTTACTTCTGAAGATGAACATTACCATATTTCAATCTTTTTCATACCAAATGGGAGGTCTGCATGTGCACACTGAAATATCTCATTTGTTTTGCCAAGTACATTACTTTTTATTGGTTTCAATTTTCTCTATATATTTACACATAGGTCATGTACTATATCTCATTATTGTAGTAAACTGCAATATGAAAACTGGTTCCATCGGTTCTAAAAAAAAATTATATTTTACAGATTAGAAAGCTATACTTAAACTTCCAGGTTTCAGTTCTAGCACATATGTCATGTAGCAGTAATTTAAGTGACCCAGATGAAATAAAAATTGTGCAAACACTCATCTTCTAAAAGTGAATTCAAAACTTGATTATGTAAACAAGGCTAGAAGAATTAAGTTAGAAAAAGAAAAATGATGATAGTAAGTCATATTAACAACAAAAGGTCTACAATGCTCATCTGAGTTCCCTTGGCCCTCCTGTTATTAAACATGACTTTATGCCCTGGTTACACTGAAGAGTTTAATTTGAATTAAATGTAAATTACTGCAAATAAAATTTGAACAGCATTCACACAGAAAATTTAATGTGCTACTCAAGAAAGTTTTTTTTTTTTATTGATTTCCTAAATATTCTTATGTAAAACTTCTTTTGGCCCAATGCTGTATCTGGGGGCAATTATTTGAACAAACTTGAATCCACACTATATGCTTGCACATCAATATGACTAAAGTAGCCCTGCTGTCTTTGTGCAGTAGACATTTTTAAGATATTTCCCATGTATTCCTATATAAAACTTTGACTCCCTTTTGCAGTCCCATCCTACCCTCAGGGGCATGATTTGATGAACAAATTTGAATCTATAATATATAAGGAAGTACTCACTTAAGTTTCGACTTTTCTGGTCTACTGGTTCTTTAATTGAAGCCATCAATTTATCACTATTTCTCAATTATTTTAAAATCTCAGGTGTATACCTTCAATTGATCAAACTTCAATCCTCTACACCCAAAGATGCTTTGTGGCAAGTTTGATTGAAATTGGCCCAGTGGTTCTAGAGAAGAAGATGAAAATGTGAAAAGTTTATGACAACAGACAATGAACACAGAGTTGCAAATGAAAACTGCTAGCAAATGCTAGAAATTTTGTCTGTGGGCAACCAGCTCTTGAGGATGTAATGGCCCATATGCCGGTTAAGAATTCATCAGCACCTTTCCAGAACCTAACCATACTTCTGTTCTACAAATAAATACACATTCATTTTCACTGTTTCCCTAACTACAAAATGTTTTCTAGACCTTTAATTGCCTTAACATTATTACTTTCTGAGGTCTTAAAATGAAGGAAACAATGCATTCGTTCATGGTGTCAAAATCATCAGTGAAAGATGAAAATGAATAGCAAAGAATACTTCTTAGAGAAAAAATACAAAAAGATTGAAAACTTTTTTTACAAAGTGGAGAAAATTGTGGGCCCAAAAATAATAATGTGGGCCTATAAAACTTTTAAAGTGGGGGGCACGAATTGACCCTAAGGTTTTAATTGTTATTTGCAACCCTGGCACAAATTTTGATCAGAAAAGATTATTTGAGCTTTTGGCTTTAGTGAGCTATAAATTATTTTCTTTTCTTTTTTCAAAGATGTCCATCCCAATCAACTGGCAAAACAATAGAACAATGCAAAGTTTTTTTATTTCTGCTTCCTGGAGCAAAAGCCATCATCAAACAAACAAGCATTCTGAGAGTATTGCATTAGCAATACTAGTCCCCTACCGGCAAGTGTAATCTGGTTCCCGTTAAGAATTGAAAATGCCATAATTCCGTCAAAAATTAATGAAGCGGGACGAAATGCAAACTTGATCTGTAACTAATCAAGGTAAAGCCACATACCAAAAATCAGCTCAATATCTACAAGCGTTTAGAAGAAAATTGCGGAAAACCCGTAAAAATTGAAAAGGCCGTAATTCCGTCAAAAGTCAATAAAAGCGGAACAAAATGCAAACTTGATCTGTAACTCATCAAGATACACTCACATACCAAAAATCAGCTCAATATCTACAAGCGTTTAGTAGAAAATTGCGGAAAACCCCTAAAAATTGAAAAGGCCGTAATTCCGTCAAAAATCAATGAAGCGGAACAAAGTGCAAACTTGATCTGTAACTCATCAAGATACACTCACATACCAAAAATCAGCTCAATATCTGCAAGCGTTTAGGAAAAAAGTGCGGAAAACCAAGTGGGACAGACTGACAGACAGACAGAGGGACAGACAGACAGACGGACAGACAGACGGACGGACAGACTCAGAGGAAACCTATAGTCCCCTCCGGTTTCACCGGTAGGGGACTAATAACTGACTTTATCTAGACACTTCATTACAAAGAAATATAGTTATGGAGAGAGGACACAAAACTAGATTTAATAATTAAATCTAAGTTTATACATGTATTGCATGGATAAAAAGGAAATTTATATATACATGTATTACATTTAGCAGAAGGGTATGATTTTTCAAAGATTTTTTACACAAGTTATTCAATGGTTTTGTATTTATCGACTTATCCAAATATAAATTTGGCACAGCTGTCCTCACCAACTAAATACCAGTATCATAAGCATATCTGTATCTATTTATTAGTCCCCTACCAGTGAAACCGGAGGGGACTATAGGTTTCCTCTGAGTCTGTCCGTCCGTCTGTCTGTCTGTCTGTCCGTCTGTCTGTCTGTCTGTCCCTCTGTCTGTCTGTCAGTCTGTCCCACTTGGTTTTCCGCACTTTTTTCCTAAACGCTTGCAGATATTGAGCTGATTTTTGGTATGTGAGTGTATCTTGATGAGTTACAGATCAAGTGTGCATTTCGTTCCGCTTCATTGATTTTTGACGGAATTACGGCCTTTTCAATTTTTAGGGGTTTTCCGCAATTTTCTTCTAAACGCTTGTAGATATTGAGCTGATTTTTGGTATGTGGCTTTACCTTGAATAGTTACAGATCAAGTTTGCATTTCGTCCCGCTTCATTAATTTTTGACGGAATTATGGCATTTTCAATTCTTTACAGGAACGTAACCAGATTACACTTGCCGGTAGGGGACTAGTATTGCTAATGCAATACTCTCAGAATGCTTGTTTTAATCATATATTAGCATGTACTTGAATTAGCAGAAAAGAAGCAGTGGGAAACTGGTGCTAAAATATGATTACCGCTAAATTAAGTATGTTTACAGTATTGGAAAATCACCTTCATAATCCCATAAATGCAGCTACACTTATAGTTTTTATCAATTATATTACCTGCTACATTGTAAGCATTTTTGAAAGGAAGTCTGACATACAGTGGTAAACACTAGTAAGGCTTTACTACCTATATAAGACATGGAAAATATTTACTAGCTGGGAAATAAATTGCAAGACTTACTTTAATATGAACATCTGTGTCCCAAAGCTTGAATTTTTCAATCCAGACTACATCATGTTTCCCTCTGAAAAGATGAAAAAGATAAAAGAAATTAATGGTATAACTATTCTGTTTCCTCCTCTCAAAATATGCATGCTGCTGGTCTCTTTCTCCAACTCTTTAATTAACACATTTCTGTAAAAATCATTAAACAAATGATCTCTACAGCAAGAATCAATAACATTGCCCGTTCTTAATTTGCCTTTTTTCCAGTTAATTCTTGCTGCCTTCCTCCACACATCTGACCTAAAAATAAAAAACATCAGCTTCAAGGAAAAGATGTTTGTTTTCTTCGCCTTTCATACTGAAATATTAATACAAGAACCCACCATTCAGATCAGCTCATTAACTCATCCATCACAAAAAATCTACTGTTATATTCACTTTTACCTAAAGTTTAATCACACAGTCCCATGGAGAATAAAAAACAAACATATGGACGTCTAACTCCAGTGGCTGTTATATGTGCATGTTTACAAGATATTTTGTACATCTGCTTCAGTCAACTTCAATCACTTCTGTCTGCTGAGAGGCCTGACTACTGCATCAATGAAAATTATTGGAAAAAAATACACAGCGTGCCTATACTCCTTCTGTCCACTCCATTTTTTTTATTATTGCTCCTTATCTAACATCTGGAAAATTGACTTTCTGATCACTGTACTGACCCAGCACACAAAATCTACAACTATATATTTGTGAATATGATAATTGATTCTTGAGATCAATAAATAAATGAACAGTACACATGTTACATCTCTATTACTATCACAGGTCCTCTACAAATCTATAGGAACCAAATAAAGAGATAAAATGACCACATTCAGCTACATGAGTCAACAAATAAAATTGATCTTATCTTCTCAGCAAGCCCTAAATATTTGTACTTATACTATATGGAACTCATGCATAGATGTGAGATCCCCTCACCCCCATCCCACCCCTTGCTGTATCACAAAATGTTGAGTTTTAACATTTTCTTGACTATCCAAAGTACATTTTAAATTATCATTAAGCAACATTTAATAATTATTCTATGTTAAAGCAAAATTTAATACTAATGCCATGTTCAAGCACAATCTATTTTGAAGTAGTTCAGTTTAGTACAAAGTAGTATGAAGTACCTCAGTTCCACTTTCTTACTTATAACCAAAATTTGTGTATCAGGAAACTCTTTAAGATCAAAAAATGTACATAATAATTGTTAATCTGCATTCAGTTCAAAAACATTTTACAAATGTTCTGATGAATAAGATAAATCATGTAGTAATATTATTTACATGATATATATATATATATATGTACATGATATCTATATATGTATACTGATCATAGGTGACTGTCATCTGAGTAAGATGAATTTCTCAGGCTGTGGTCCTCAATAACAACTGGAAAAGCTTTTGTAGAGAGTTTGTAATACAAATAATTTGTCAACTTGATGTCCATGAGTAAACAAAAACAAGGCTGTAACTAGGCTCAAATTTTAGGTATTAGACATAATCTTTGAAAGTTTTTACATTTTGAATTGTAACCCACGTGGTGCAGTTCTTAGAGCGTAAAACGTATTAATTTAGTACTAAGACACACATAATTAATTTTAGTGAGGCATTTGCCTCACTTGCCTCAATAAAAGTTATGGCCTTGGAAAAAGATTTTCAAAGTTGTAATGAATTTTTAATAGATGACCAACTTATTCATACCTACCATGGGGTGTGAACAATGGGCCAGTTTTAATTAGGGGTCATATGATCTTAATGACAGAGGGCAAGGAGTTAATGGTTATCATACAAATAGTTTGTGCAAGATGTTCATTGGTAAAGTTTTTTTTCAAAGGTATTCCTTTGTATGACCAACTTTGCCCCATCCTGGAGCCTAAATGGTCTTTAATTTCATAAATTTGGCAGAGAGCTAAGTGGACGCTAAAAGCGAAAACCCCTATAATGAATTGACGCTTAAGGACCCTCTCTACACTAAATGAAAATGTTTTTTGAACATCGAGAAAATTATATTGTATAAAGGTGTAAATATTGAGCTTATTTATATCACTTTCAACATAGGGTGCCTGGCTTTTACTCCCAAGAAAAATGTTCAAAGTCAACAAAGTTTTGATGAACAGAAATCACTGTTGTTAACCTATGTGGGGAAAAGGCATTCAGATGAGGTGTGCAATTAATTTATCTTGGCCTATCAGAATGTAAAGAATGCTTGAATTGATTAGAAGTTGATTGATAAATGGTAGATTTCAATTTATTTTATTTTAGATCTAAGGGCAGATTACTCTAACTACATAAAAATACCACAAAATCAGAACTCTTAAGTGTGCAGTGTATAGAGGGTTCTTAAATTACAGCAAAGTGATTTTCATTCCCTGTGGCTCTAAAATATATTGAATATATATTGAAAATATACGGATATAATGAATTACGTTTATAATGAAGCAAAATTCTCCATCCCCGGCACTTCATTACAAGTGTGTTATACTGATAATAGAGGAATTAATTCCACTCTCTATAGAGGTGGGCCTGACTTGCCTGTGAAGAAAACAACCAACCAGTTTGGGCGAACAACCATGACTTATTACATACATATTACATAGATATGAAGGAAGTAAAACAATAAGGTAAGCAAATGATATAATCATGGTTTTCTCCAATTAGAAAATGAGCAGGAGAAAATTAAATGCAGCATGGTTGGTCTCCTCAAGATGAGGAGGTTCAAACTAAACTGCTAGTATCAAACACGCATATCCACTAACACACACACACAAAAACAAAAAAAAAAACAAAAAAAAACAAAAAATTAATTTTTACGACTGGTGTGGCCTGCAGGTTCAAAGATTTTTTTGAAAGTGACGCTTAATCTACAGATCAGCTTAAATAATTAATACTGATAATAAGAATCTGATTGGTTAATTAAGTTGTTATTTTTTGAAATTTGGTATAGGACAATCCTGATTGGAGGAAAATTACGTAAATAGAGGGCGCCCTCTGAATATGGAGGGCACCCTCAATAACCCCTAGGAGGATCCCCATAAGGACTAGAGGGTCTTGAATAACGTGGACAATTACTAGCTGAAATCTGATTGGTTTAAATAATAAAAACAACATGGGTAATGGCTCCCACGCAAATACAAAATATGGCCATGATCGTAAATTAATAACAATTAAATTACATTTAATATTTCCCTGTGCAATAACAGATACTGAAGTCATCAGATGACAGCCATTTTGATTATGTTGTATTTAATAATAAATATAATATGTATTTAGCTAATTGACTTGTTTCATGTTCATGAAAAAAATAATCATTTCAATTTAAGGAGTAATGCTACACTAAAATATTATTGAATAGATCTTTAAGATATCTCTTTTGAAATTATCAGATATGCATGGTTTCAGCAGGAAAAGATTGATATTTATAGTTCAATATTGATTACTTTATTTTCTTTATTTTTATTGGGGGGGGGGGGGGGGTACTTTTTACGAGAAAATGCAAAAATTGTTTTATTTTCAAAAAAGATGCTTTAAAGTATAAAATTTGTGTGGCAAGACTGCTCTGCAGGACACACATCTATAAATAAGTTCAAACAATCAAAATCAACTATTCTGAGGTTTCAACTTCTTTCCAGACCAAATTTTATTGTTCCCCATTACCCCCATTTCACTATTAATACTGGTTGCCCACGTGGCGCAGTGGTTAGAGCCTTTGCTCTACTAGAGCCGTGGAGTAAGGAGTTGATCCTTATGTTGCGGGTTTGAATCCCACTATGGGGCGTGGAAACCAGTCTTTCGGATGAGACTGTATAAACCGAGGTCCCGTGTCACAGTAGGTGCTGGCACAAAAAAGATCATACTGCTCAATGGCCCACAGTGCCGAGTATAGGTCAAAATTTGCAGCTCTCTGAGTTCACCTTGGCCATAACTATTTGAACAGTTGGTGCTAGGGCTTTCAAACTCCACACTTGTATTCCTTATGACAAGACCTTCCTTTGAATACCAACAACTTGACCCTTTGACCTTGGAGTTTGACCTACTTTTGAAAAACTTTAGCCTTGGCCATAACTTCTGAACAGTTGGTGCTAGGGCTTTCATACTTCACAAGTGTATTCCTTTTGATAAAACCTTCCTTTGGATACTAACAACTTTGAACTTGACCTTGGAGTTTGACCTACTTTGGAAAAACTTTAGCCTTGGCCACAACTTCTGAACAGTTGGTGCTAGGGCTTTCATACTTCACAAGTGTATTCCTTGTGACAAGACCTTCCTTTGGATACCAACAACTTGACCCTTTGACCTTGGAGTTTGACCTACTTTAAAAAAACTTTAACCTTAGTCATAACATTTGAAAATTTGGCATAAGGGCTTTCATACTTCACGTGTGTATTCCTTGTGACCAGACCTTCCTTTGGATACCAACAATTTTGGCCCATTGACCTTGACCATAAAGTTTGACCTACTTTAAAAAAACTTTTACCTTGGTCATAACATTTGAACTTTTGGTTCATAGAGCTTGCATATTACAGGTACATGTGTATCACTTGTGACAAGACATTCTCTTGGGCTCCATTTGACCTTTATTTTACTTTTTTAAGGAATTTTAACCTTTGTCATAACTTTTCAATGGTTGGTGCTAAGGCTTTCACATTTCACAGGTTTATTCCTCGAGGCAAGACCTTTCTTTGGGTACCAACATTTTTCATCTCTTGACCTGGAGTTTGACTTGCATTTGAGAAACTTTAACCTTTGCCATAAGCTGCCATACGGGGGCATCAATGTTTCACAAACACATCTTGTTTATTATACATTAAGTATAGCTATATATAAATAACTTGAGGCACTTAATATCAGGTGGAAGCAGTGCCCCACCTCCACCCCACACATTTTTTCGGAGAGAGAAGTCCTTTGTTTTTGATGAAGTTTAATGGCTATTTTCATTAACACTGCCAGCTGACTACCCACTCTTTGTTTATATTGTCAAAAAAAGCAGAGGATTCTGGCACTCCACCACCCCACAAAGATGGTTGTCAAGCAGCACTTTTTCTTTATTTTCTGGATGTTACTTCAATCAATGTTAACTGGATGTTACTTCAATTAACTTTGAATCCCTAAACTCAAAAAACTGTTCTACAAAACTCTAAAACCTGGAAGCTTCAGACTGTCTGTCCTAGGCTTTGCCCCCTTGAGTCCCCACATGACAAGTTACTTTGTCTCAGATGCACTGAGAAGCTTAATGGTTCATTAATATCCTGATAAGAGAGATAACTCTTCATGGAATAAATATCAAGTTAAAATATCTTTTTTGGTCCATGCAATTTTGTCTGCAACCTATATACATGACATACTAAAACTGTTTGCATTGTGGCCGTCAGACAGGTTCGATCGCTGGTGGCCAGATAGCTTAGTTGGTAAAACATCTGACTGGAGGTTCAGGGGGCCGGGATTCAAATCCTAGTCTGGCCCATTGCATTTTTCTCCTCTCCAGCTTACATTTCAGGGATGGGGTAATTGAAATGAGTATATACGAGGGGCATTTCAAAAGTTC